GGGGGGGGGGGCGCACTGAAGCAGCATTCCTATCCGTCACAAGACTCAATGGGAGGGGGAGACTTTTCTACCTAAGAGACTCAAATGCCTTCCGGAGGGGTGAGGCATGGAAACGGGGGCGTACGGAAGGCGCCGAATTCAGGGAAATGTCACTTGTGGAGTCCGGACGAGAGCCCAGCGGAGAGCGGCCCGCGGCCCTGGTCACAGAAGGAGATGGCCGGGGGAGCCGCAGGGACCGGGAGCTTCCGGGTCCGCCGCGCCCGTGGCCCGAGCTGCAGCCGTCTCAGACACAAGCGAGGCGGGACTGTCTTCTGCCTGCCCCGGGCGTACAGGACTGACTGTTTTTCTGCTTTTAGCTGGCTTCCGCCCCCGGCTCTGTGTTGTGTTGTTTTGTTTTGAACAGAAGGAAACAGGTAGTTGCTTAGGAAGCACATTCTATCCAGCAGCCATGCAAAGGTCGTCAAGTGGGTAGGCGGCCTTCGGGATTCCCAGGGGGCCCGGCTGGCCCTCCCAGCAAGGCCCTCCTCTGTAAACAAGGGCTCCCGGGATGCCGTGCTAGGAGTACAAATCCACAGGACATGCAAGGGCTTTCTGAATCGAGAACGAGAACGCTGATCCCCCAGATTTTTAGCTGTTCATCTGGCGAGTGTGCAAATCCAACAAAAAGAGCCCCAGGTGAAGCGGAGAACACTCTAACCAGAAGGCCTCCACAAGGCAACAGGCCACGGTCACTATCGAGCTGCTTGCTGAGTGTCTCCTAGTCCTGCACCATAAATGAAAAGCCCAGAAGAGAAAAACTTTTTTTTTTTTTTTAGGTTACCCATGAGGCCTGAGAAAAGGCAAGAGTAAATGCCCAGCAATAAGGGATGCCGGCTCAGTATTTTGAAATCCAGGCTGAGCTGGACTGCTACTGTTCCAAGCCCCAGAGAAGTTCACTTCGATGAAAACAATAGGATATGAGGCCAAGCGAGCAAAACTCTGAGCTCTCCATCCACTGCTGGGCATTCATGTGCCTCATTTCTTGAGAGAAGCCAATCCCTAAAACTGTGTCTCTCTTCCAAAAACTGCACTCACAATGGAACTAAGTCAGGGAACCAAGTATTTTTCCATTTTGTCTTTTCTTCCTCTCCTTTTTCTTTTTGGAAAAAAAAAAAAAAGGAGTCTTTTCCACTGTGATCTATCACAGCACGGACGCTCCTGTGAAAGCGTGCTCACTGCCTACAGGCTTCTCTGGGCAGCACGAGGAAGGGCTGCCTGCCCCAGTGTGCAGTCGAGAACAAGAGTAACAGAACCTTCAGGTCTTCCAAACTGGGAACCTCCTGGATTGGAATTCATAGAGCAATGAAACAAAAATGATTCTGGGACTGACACAGTTGCCAACTTGTAGATCTGCTAATAAGAAGGGTGCTTTATGGGGCACCTGGGTGGCTCAGTCGGTTGAGCGTCTGACTCTTAATTTCAACTCAGGTCATGGTCTCAGGGTGCCGGGATTGGGTCCATGTCGGGCTCTGCACTCAGCGCAGAGTCTGCTTGTCCCTACCACCCCACCCCCGCTCCTCCCACTGCATGCATATGCACATGCATGCTCTTCTCTCTAAAATAAATAAATAAAATCTTAAAAAATAAATAAATAAAAAGAAGGGTGCTCCAGAAAACAAGCTACACCTGCCAAGCACCAGTGTAACAGAAAAATCATCTTACACAGAACACACCGAGAGGACAACCTTAGATCAAGGCTAATCCTTAAATCAAATACATTTAGCTTTACGAACCCCGTAAACCTTCTTGTTCTCATCATGAAAACACCACCACAAACTAGCCCTGGCTCAGTCACCCACCCAAAACAGAAATTCTTCTTTAGATTCTAGCTTCCCCAGCAGTGGTCACCTGTCCACAGAGAAAACGGTAGAACCAGAAAAGGATACAAAAGCTCCAATGATGAACACGGGGCTGAAAACGTGCTTCTGGAAGGTAAACAGTGCCAGGCCCATGTAGGAGAAGATGAAGTTCTCTGCCAGGAAGTGTAACACCTCAAAGAGCTGCACAGGATGGGGAAAGGAAGCCGTAAACCCTGTGGGTCTCCTCCCTTGTATTCACAGGTAACTCGTGAGGACCCAGAGCTCGCTCTCACCTGCTTCGTTCGACTTCTTGATTCCACCGACAGATTGTTGTAGGTGTAATGAGCCTGTGTGATCCCGCAGAAAAGGACAGCCACAACGCCTGGTGAGAGATTTTTAAAAAAAGAAAGAAAAAAAAATCAATGGAGGAAAAAAAAAAAAGAAGCTGGAAAAAAATCCCCCCCTGAAACAAAAACAAGGTAGGCAAGCCCAACATGTACAACTTCCTGAATAGTTTGGAAAGTTTCCTATTGCTGAAAGCTCCCTCACCCCCACCACTCATATCAACCTTTCCTTCTTCTGACTGCCTTCCTTCAAAGCCAAGGTCCCCGACTTCCCTTCTTGCTCCAGTTTTAAGGGCATTCTCTCCTCTCCTCTAAACTCCCGCTGATTTTGGCATTTAGTATTCACTCTTTCAAAGAGGCTGTGGGGCACCTGGGTGGCTCAGTCGGTTGAGTGTCCGGCTCTTGATTTCGGCTCAGGTCATGATCTTGGGGTCGTGGGATCGAGCCCTGCGTCGGGCCCCACGCTCAGCGGGGAGTCTGCTTGAGAGTCTCTCTCTCTCTCTCTCCCTATGCCCCTACCCCCCCACTCTCTCTCTTAAATAAATAAATGAATCTTTAAAAAAAAGAGGCCATGAGGGCCCATCATATCCTTTCGTCATATTCCTCTCTGTTCTCTGTTCTTAGAAGCAATGAATTTAATTGCAAGCAAATGCTTTCTATTTTTGCATGGTCTAGGGCTTCAGACAAAACGGATCCAGAGTACTGTGCCATTTATCCAAGCCTTGGTTACCTTGGTTTCTGATTAATGGTAACCATTTTGTTGTGCAAGACAACTGACGCACCTGGACTGCGCCTATACATTTACAGGTAATTGCCAAGTTTTAAAGAAGTGGGGTATTTTATAATGCTGCATATAAAGATATGTTGCAGTATTTTGAAAAGAGGATAAAAGGGCTTCCCAACTACCTGGATTATGTATAGCAATTGTACTTGAGTTTTCTAGTGGAAAAATTCAGTGATTTTTTTTTTTTTTTGATGAGAGAATGTGAAGAACTAAAACCGCAAGTTTACTCACACTAATAATACATGAAATTGGCATCATAAAAACATAGTATTGAAAAACAATGATTAAATAGACCAGAGCCAAAACAAGGACAAACCGTGTTCACATTCATCTGAGTTGATGATACAAAGTTACCCTTACAAGGATACAGATTTTGTCTGTTGTTTGTTACTGTTTGTGAGAGAAGCAGTAATCTAGGGGATGATACAATTAAGAGGTTAATAAATTCAGTAACCTTTGCAGGTAAACATCTGCTTACAGTTGGAATGAGTACTCAGAGACAACTGAGCTTGAAACAATAAATTTCATCCTTTAAAAACGTGTAGCTCTGGGAAACAAAATTATTCCTAAGGTGGAATACCAGCCGTGCCCAGCAATCCTCCATATGGACGCTCTGTGAGTGGTGTATCAACTCCATGCAGCTGTTCCATGAGCTCCCCTCCAGCTCGCACAGCCCCGGGCTGCAGGGAGGGAAAGGGTAGCCCAAGGGTAGTGAAAACCCACCTGTGAACCCACAGGCTTCTGCCAAAAGGAAGGTGCTCCAGGACATCAAGAAGAAGAGTGCCGTCTCCAATAGAGGGAAGCAGTGCAGCTTGGTAAACTTGGTCACGTGGGCCCCTGTCAAGGAACTTGGCTCCGGGAACAAGTTATCGGGGCTACCAAGAACCACACAGGGTGAGCCCAGGATCCCCCCTCTTCCCTAAGGGTGATCCCTTCCTTTCAACTCTTCTTTTGGGGGCCCCAAAGCTGCTGCTCGGTTTTTAAAGTAACAGAAACGAAGTTTTCGAGTAGAAACAAGGTTTCCAAGGGCTGGGAGAGAGGAGAAAGGGTGATATTGTTTCTGTTTGGGATGATGAGAAAGATCTGCAAACAGTGGGGACGGTTACACAATGTGGATGTACTTAATGCCACTGATTTGTACACTTAAAAAAAATAATAATGTGACATACCCAAAGCCATTTAATTATACACTTCAAATGAGTGGATTGTACGGTATGTCAATTTTACCTCAATAAAGCTGTCTTTTAAAAAAAAAAATGGAGCTTTCTAAAGCAACCGGAAATAAGTTTTCTGTGCTCCCTGCAATGCCCATGGCTCTGAGGGGCTCGGTCTTGGCCTGAGGGGTGACTGGCAGGTTAGTTCTTGCAGTGCAGGGGGTGCCTCAGGCAGGCCTGGGGAGGGAGCCTAGGCCCGTGAGACTCTGACCTCTGTGGGCTGCTATGACCTGAGTCCAACAGCAGGCGCCTCATGAATGCATGAGAAATGAAGAAATAAAATGCACAACTCCAGGGGCTGGTGCCACTTTCGGGGACCAGAGAGTCCCCTCGTAACACTGCCCTTCCACAGTGGGCCAGCATGGAACCATCTCACGCGTGCTTTCACCGAGCAGTGCAAGCCCCCAGAGCATCACAGGGGCCTCTGTGGAGAAAGCAGCTGGGTCCATGCTGTCCAACATGGTAGTCGCTAGCCACGTGTGGCTACTAAGCACTCGAAATGGGGCTAGTCCGAATTGAGAGATGCTGGAAGAGCAAAATACGTGCCACGCTGCAAAGATTTATTATAGAAATTGCGGGTATAAAATCTCCGTGATAATTTGTATACTGATTGCAGGCTGGGATGACGTGGCTGGCATCTGTGGCTTCCGTGACGTCATACTAGATGGCAGGGATCTAAATGCCATCGAAAGAGCATTTGACGAAGGACTCGGCACACCTGTCGAGGGGTGGCCTGCCCGTCCCACACTTTGCTTTAATGTCGGTTGGTTGGATTTTTAACTAAGTGGGATACAATCCTTCACTTAAGGAAGGCTACCTCTTGGTAATTGCCACTGATGGCCCCAGGTAGTTACGGCCATGTTAGCCCGCGTGGCCCACAACAGCCGAGGGCAGGCTTGAGGCTCAAGTACTTCCCAGCCTGCCCCCTCCTAGCCTCCCGTGCGGCGGCCCGTGCTCCCCAGCCTCCTCCTGGCTCTTTCCCCCGCTTCCAAAACCAATGTCCTCCCGCAGCTGGTTCGCCGGAGGGAGAGAATGCAAAGGCACATGCTAGAGTCACACTCCCAAACATTTTCTCAGACTCTTAGTTAGCTACGTACTCGACTGTCATGTTTCACCAAAGGGACACATTTCAGGAGTCCCCCCCCACCCCCGACCCCAGTGGAAACATCGATTTAAGATTCATTTCTGGAAAAAAAAAAAAAATCATTTCTGAGAAGAAGAACCGAGACCTCGTTCTTGCACTCCTACCCAGGCGGGGGCAGAAACCACAAAAAGGATATTAGAGCAGTCACAACGCCCGTCACAGCTCCCATGGTGAAAGAGCCACTAAATATACCTAGAAAAATGCCCACTGATTTAAAAAAGGCAGCAGCATCAAAGGCATGAGTGTTCAGGCCCGCTGGCTGGTAGGCAACAATAGACCTGGGGTTTAAAAAGAAGAGAGAGCTAGAACAGAGCACGCTGTTGTTATACCGTGGTACCTAAAAAGATCGGCAAATGGAGGCATCTACACTCTGCCTAGCACTCCCCGTGCTGTAGGCCTTTAACCTGCTGCCATCAGCATTCAGATGGCCGCCAAGTGGACAAAGCAACATAACTTTATCAACAGAACTGATGAACCTCACTTAGAAAAACGCCCAGTTCAATCTTTAACACTTTTGAGAGAAGCCTCTGAATTGAGCCCAGAGCACGCCGGAAGCCAGAGGCTCTCTTCCCCGGGGCAGAAATACCGTTGTTACTTACGAGGACAGGACAATGGCAACAGCATCATTGAGGACGCTTTCCCCAAACAGAAGTGCGTAAAGATCCACGTCTGCGTGCAATTCGTTAAATATTGCCAGTACAGTCACTAAAAATGGGCAGGAAGCATATCAATTAGTTTCAGCTTAAGCCACTGGTGACAAATGCATAGAGGCGATTCCTACCTCTGGCGGGACAGGGTGGTTTGGGAGACAAATGAAACGAAATGAAAGTGACAAATCTTCCCGATCCGAGTGAGGTCTGATAGGAGGCTCATTTCTAAGAACACCACAGGGCAACCCTGCGCTCTCCTCTGTTACAGAACCTTCAAAAATAATCACACTGAATGTGATTTGGCCCCACTGGCAGACTGAAATCTCTCTGAAGGCAGAAACCGTTTTCCCACTGACCCCTGTGTTCCCAGGACCCAGCATAGGGTCAGGGCACCGAGAAGGCTTTAACAAAAGTCCGTGAAATGATGAAAGTCTTCTTTTAGGACAGACCAGACATAATTCCATGTCTCTTTGTCTTCACATTTCTTAGATATTGAAAAATCGGCTGTTCTCCAGATGAGCAGCTCTCAAACTTTTGGTCTCAGGACTCCTTTATACTCTTAAAAGCCACTGAGGCCCCTGAAGAGCTGTAGTTTTTGTGGGCAATAGCCATTGATATTTACTGTATTAAATAAAACAAAAAATTAAATATTTATGCATTTAAAATTAGGAATAAACCCCGTCATATGTTAATGTACTTATTTTTAAAAAGATTTTATTTATTTATTTGAGAGAAAGAGAGAGCGTGTGCAAGTGAGCATGAGTGGGGGGAGGGACAGAGGGAGAAGCACACTCCCCGCTGAGCAGGGAGCCCGATGCGGGGTTCGATCCCAGAACCCCGAGATCATGACCTGAGCCGAAGGCAGATGTTTAACCGACTGAGCCACCCAGGTGCCCCTTTACATATTTTTAATGAAAAATAATTATATTTTACAAAAAAAAAAAAGTGAGAAGAGAGCCATTTGTTTTACAGTTTTTCACATCTCTTTACTATCTCGATTAATGGGAGACAGATGGTTCTCTTATCTCTTTCTGCATTCGACCAACAGATAGTCAATATCACATGTTATGCAGCCTCTGGAAAACTCTACTCCACTGCACATTCGTGAAAAAATGAAAGTAAACAAGACAAATAATGGGGGCGCCTGGATGGCTCAGTCAGTTGAGCGTGTGACTCTTGATTCTGGCTTAAGTCCTGATCTCATGGGTCGTGAGCTTGAGCCCCACATCGGGCTCTGCGCTCAGCAGGAGTCCACTTGGATGTTCTCTCCCTCTGCCCCTTTCCCTACTCGCTCTCTCGCTCGCTCTCTCTGTCTCTCAAAAATAAATAAATATTTTTTTTAAAAAGACAAGCAATGTATTACTATTATTATTAAATCATTAAATTAGTTTGGACCTTATGGTCTCCCTGAAAGCATTTTGGAGTTTCTCAACTTCGGTACTACTGACATTTTGGGCCAGATGATTCTTTGTTGTGGGCGGCTGTCCTGTGCATTGCAGGATGTTAAGCAGCATTCTTGGCCTCTATCCACTAGATACCAGTAGCACTGCACACTCCCTGCCAATTGGGACAACCAAAAATGTCTCCAGACATTGCCAAATGTCTCCTGAGGGGCAAAATCACCCCCCAGTGAAGAACCACTGTTCTAAATATATGCATGCAGGCAGGCTCCTCTCCACACTCACGTCCAGCTGCCTTCTGCTTTGTTCGTTTCTACCATAAGGACCTGAACAACTAAAAACTCGCCTCCCCAAGTTCCCCTGCACTGCGTGTCACCTCTTCCTGCCTGGAGGAGACTGGGGAGGCTGGATGTATCCCAGTCATCTTGCCTCCACCAGGCAGCAAATGTGTATCTGAAACACAAGGGCAGTGCCCTGGAAAGACGGAGTGCCCGGACACCCGATTGTAGAGGGAGCCGTGGTACCAGCTGAGGGCCATTAGCTAAGACAGAAAGCTATTTGTTTAAACTCATGTTTGCCAGGTTGTTCTGCTATTGGCAACCAAAGGCATTACTAACGGACACAATTAGAAAACAAAACCAAACAAATATTTACCTTTGTGAGTTATTACAAGCCAACCCCTCTTGTAGCCATCACCCAGTTCAGGCAACGGAATTTTGCCAGCCCCTCTGGAAGACCCTCTCTATGTTGCATCCTACTTTCAAGGCCCTTCCTTCACCCAAACGTAACCACCAGCCTCATTTTATAGTAATCGTTTTTCCTGCATTTCCTTACAGCTTGATCACCTAATGTATACTCCCTGACACTACTGCTTGGTTTTGTCCATTTTTAAATTTAGTTTTTGAAATGCTTTTTTTTTTTTAACATCTTGTTTACTGCCTGGATTCCTCGTCTGTTCCTGTCAGCTCTTTCCACAATGCCTATCGTTTACTCCTCTTATTTCTAAATTTTCCAATCCTGATGTATACAGTTCTTTCCTAACTTCTTTCATTTTCGGAGTTTTTTTTTTAAAGATTTTATTTATTTGAGAGAGAGAGAGCGCACAAGCGAGTGAGCCAGGGGTGTGGGGGGGGGGGAGGGAAGAGCAGAGGGAGAGGGACAAGCAGACTCTGCGCTGAATGCAGAGCCCGATACGGGACTCCATCCCATGACACCGAGATCACAACCCACGCGGAAACCAAAAGTCCGATGCTCAACCAACTGAGCCACCCAGGCACCCCCTGAATTTCCTTTAGCTTCTACTGGAATATTAGTAATATTCTGCTTTGTACCCTATTTTGCTGATATTACTTAATTATATGCAACTTTATTATTCAGAGGGGCTATCCTCATTTTTTCTTACAATATGCTTGCATGAAGTCCGATCTCAATCTACTTCTGCTGCTCATTTTAAGTGAGGTGGGGAGGGGAAGACCCAGACTAGCTTTCCTCGTTTCACGGCTCTAGGGCTCCCTCTGCTGGTTTTACATTGAAGTACTGAAAATGTGGCCTCTGAGTGTAGCCACCCCCTCAATACTCATGAAATCTACTTCCTCTGGTCTCTTCCTCCATTGGTATCTGAGCTTTCTTTCTCCTTTAATGCCCTGTCACTGCAGGGTCTGTGGTCCTTAGCAGTTTATTTTTAGGGAGTGGCTCTGTCCTTCCAGAAAGGTTTTCACCAGGTATTTTTTGAGAGCCCTGAGGGCTCGGGCCACCTTGGCAGCCTCGCACCTCCTCCAATGTCCTCGTTGTCACCCACAGATTGGAGCCTGTAAAGTGCCTCCCAGCTTTAACTGTTGTTATCCGATATGCCTACAAAGTTCTTTACTCCAAGTGGGGACCCCTCCTTTTGAATGTGAATACTTGGGGGGAAGTTCCCTGGCAGTCAAAATGATCAGAGGACCCCCCTCTTCTCCCCTCTGTTTCCTCCTGCACAGCTGCTGTATCCTACCCCTGAGTCTCGCCACTGCTGGTGGTTTGACCCCAGCAGATAATATTTGGGGATTCATGGGTACTCTGTCAGCTAGCTGCATTTCTGTGTTTTTTCTTTCGCTGCCCTGCTTCCTCCATTTCTGTTAGGGATTAAGGAAAATTCTAAAACTACACTGTCCCCCTCATGCTTTCCTTCTCAAAAGTTTAATTCATTTATTGAGAGGAAGCAAAGAACAATTTGGATAGGACAGATGTTGACTCTATCATGAGGCTGCTCCACGTAATTACACATCCACTGCTCAAATCACTATGGGGGGCAATGCCAGAAGCTAGAGTTCCTGGAGGGCACGTCATCTTCATAACACAAGACACAAGGTCAGTCTCTTTCACCCATCCCTAAATACAGCTTATCAGGTAACACAACAGGAAAAACCTTTAGGGATTTGGCTAAAAAATTCTTATTTTCTAGATTATTTATTACATAAACAGTATCTGGGGTGCCTTCCAGAAAACTTGTGAGGGTAAATTTATCTGTCAAAGATGAATGGATAAAGAAGATGTGGTATATATATACAATGGAATATTATGCAGCCATCAAAAGGAATGAAATCTTGCCATTTGCAATGACGTGGATGAAACTGGAGGGTATTATGCTGAGCGAAATAAGTCAATCAGAGAAAGACATGTATCATATGACCTCACTGATATGAGGAATTCTTAATCTCAGGAAACATACTGAGGGTTGCTGGAGTGGTGGGGGGTGGGAGTGATGGGGTGGCTGGGCGATAGACATTGGGGAGGATGTGTGCTATGGTGAGCGCTGTGAATTGTGTAAGACTGTTGAATCACAGACCTGTACCTCTGAAACAAATAATACATGTTTAAAAAAAAAAAGATGATGATAGCAGGAGGGGAAGAATGAAGGGGGGGAAATCGGAGGGGGAGATGAACCATGAGAGACGATGGACTCTGAGAAACAAACTGAGGGTTCTAGAGGGGAGGGGGGTGGGAGGATGGGTTAGCCCGGTGATGGGTATTAAAGAGGGCACTTTCTGCTTGGAGCACTGGGTGTTATATGCAAACAATGAATCATGGAACACTACATCAAAAACTAATGATGTAATGTATGGTGATTAACATAATATAATAATAAAAAAAATTTTATCTGTCAACTTGACTAGACCACGGGGGCCTCAGATATTTGATTAAACATTATTCTGGGTTTGTCTGTGAGGTTTTGGATGAGATTACCATTTGAATCAGAAGACTTAGTAAAGCAGATAGCCCTGCCCAAGGTGGGCGGGACTCATCCAGTCAGTTGAAGGCCAAGTAAGGAAGAATTTGCGCTTGCTGCCTGTCTTTCAGCTGGGACAATTGTCCCCTCCTGTCTTTGGACCCAGACTGGAACTACACCATTGGCTCTCCTAGTTTTCAGGCCTTCGAACAGCATATCTTGGGACTTCTCAGCCTCCATCATTACATGAACCAATTCTTTATATTCACTGAACCTCTTTTCTTACTTTCTCGCTCTCTCTCTGTACACACACACACACACACACACACACTGCCTGGTTGTTCTGCTATTGGCAACCAACTAGTCCGAATTGAGAGATGCTGGAAGAGCAAAATACGTGCCACGCTGCAAAGATTTATTATAGAAATTGCGGGTATAAAATCTCCGTGA